CTCAGCCAGCTGAGTGGTTTTAACCTTTACCATTTGGTGTCAGAACGGTCAGGCTCTAAGTGACCTGTTTCACTTAATACCCTTTTTTCTGGTTGTCTTCTCAGATGTAGTGTCGCTGCTTCAGGAATCAGTTCCGTCGGGGAACATGGGGAGCATGGATGTGTTGCCAGCTCCTGCTGGAAGCCGTGTCAGTCAGCAGCCCCCATGTCCCGGAGGCTTATGAGGCCACAGGTTCACTGGGCTGGCCCTGTGTCAGCTGCAGGCCGGGTGTGCTTTGCTCAGTGTCACCTTTGTTCCTGGCTGATGGACCAGTTTGGGCTTTGCCCCGCTCATTAAACACCCACAGGCTCCTGATGCTTCTGCTTTGGGGCTGGTGTGCATGGTCCTGCCCAGCTGGGCAGGTCACATGTGCCCACATCCTCTTGGCTGGGGCCTGTGGGAAGGCATGGCAGTGGGTGGGATGCACACCCCACTTCCAGGGAAGGGAGTGAATGGAAGAGAGCAGTGACACAGCGCGGTGACCTTGGGTGAGAATTCTAGAGTGGGTCAGCATCAACTCTTACAACTTGTGGCTTTGAAACCTCTTTATTCTACATGATACTCTCTTGGTTAAGGCTTTCTCCTAAAACAGCCGTCGTCTATCTGGCCAGGGGTTTGTGCATCTGGGAGGGCTTCCACGTGCACACCAAGGGGTCACACTCATGTTACCCTGCCACCCGGGCGCCGGTGGCAGTGGGTTGGTATGTGATAAAGCCACGTTGTCCTTATGTGCAGGTGGGCCCTCCTCACCTTGGGTGTCAGTGCAGGAACTGGAGCTGTTACGTAAGATGTCCACAAGTAAGGAATGTGTCAAAACAGTATTTTTAGAGGACTGGCAGAAGTTAAGGCTGGGGTTTGGGCCAGGTTGCCAAGTGTGTTGGTTTGGGCCCTGTCAGTGAGGTGTCCCTGACAGTGCCTCCTGGGGTTAAGGGCATGGTGGCATGTGCTCTGAGGAGCTGGTTACTTGGGGCCTATCTGGACACCTCTGGGAGGGACGGAGTGGAACCCTTCAGGCTACCACATGGTGTCCTTCTGCTGCAGACAGACACCTTCTGTTTGCCTTTTGTCTGCACTTGATGCCTGCACATCCCCTCACACCACACACAACGGTCACCTTCTGTGGGAACCCTCTCTCAACTCTTGTGGCTGGGCCAGGAACTTGGGCTTTTCCGCAGCCCCGGTCCGTCCTGAGGGCAGGCTGCAGCTTGCACACCGCTCTTGCCCTCTAGATGCGCAGGGGTCCTGCCAGGCCTTGAGAAGCTTCCACCCTGGGAGGTGCTGACCCACATGAGCCTGGTGGCCTCCCTGTCCTGCCAGGCCCTGCAGTGGTGTCTTCGTCCCTTGCCAGTTGTCCACGGCCTGGTGCATCCTGTCTCAGAACCTGGTTGTGGGGATGCAGCTCCAGTACAGAGGATGCCTTGGTCACCCTTTGTGGAGTGGTGACTCATTTTCCCCGTTATTTTTCTCCTTCAGCCTTTATGGAAGCATGTCAAGAAGGCCAGTTTCTGAACCTTCCCCCCTCTCCTTGCTCCCGCATGTTTTCGCTTCTGCCAGCACTCCTTCCCCACCTGTGTGCCTCCCACCGTCCCCCCATCCTCTGCCCTCCACACTGGGTTGGGAGCTCATAGGCTCAGGGTGCCATGTAGGTGGTTTGTCCGGGTGGTGGTGGTTTGTGTTGGCTGTCCTGGCCTAATTTCTAATAGAGCTCCTGCCCCCTCAGAGTGACTGTGCATCCTGCAGCCATTGCCATGTCTAGGCACTGACCCCCTACACAGTCAAAAACCCACATATCATTTTTGACTCCCCAAAACCTTAACTACGAATAGCCTTACCAATAACAGAAATAGTCAATTAACACATATTTGTATGTTACATGTATTATATACTATATATATTCTTACAATAATGAAAGCTAGAGAAAAGCATGTTTTCAAATTGTTGCAAATATCTAAAAAAGTTTCCAAGATGAAAAAAATCTTCATATAAGTGGACCTGTGCATTTAAAGCCTATGTTCAAGGCTCAATTGTATTTTAGGAAGTGGGTTTTCCTTAGTAGGATGTAGTTATTGATAGGTCAGGTTTTACAGGGGACCTTGAAGCTTGGTGTGCAAGATTTGGTATTTTTTAGTCTTGGTCCTTTTTGATCATGTGAGGCGCTCGTGGGTCGCGGCTTCCTGTCCGTCGTCAGTATCTGCCTATTCTTGAGCCCTGACACTCGGAGGGCTTCTGTACGTTGTGCGGCTGGAACAAGCAGAGGCCTTCCTGGGACTGGGGAGGGTTATCTGGTTCCCTCCCACCCCACACCTGCCATCTCCGACCTCCCCTCCCTTCCCCTTAGAGACGGTGGGCACTGGGGAAAGCATTTTTCTCTCCCATGTTGACAGCTCTGCTCTTGTCTGTCCCGTTGCCAGTTTGGCTTGCCTTGGCTGTGTTTCATCATGCAGGACTGTTTCTACTGGAAGTAAAATATTGGAAATAAACCANGCTGACTTACTCTGCAGAGAGAATTCTATAAAAGTGCCAGGGCGCTTTCTCCTCTTTCCCATGGTACAGACGCTCTCTGGCCCCTAGGGTTTTTGGTTTGGCTTTTTGTTGAATAGATTCCTATTTCAGGAAATAGTCTCTCACCTTTTTCTGGAGAAATGCTTTAGTCAGAGCATTTTAGTAGCTCAGAATATGCATTTTTTTCTGTCAGTGGCAAGCGTTTGTCTCATCTCATCGTGCAGTTTCCTGTTCAGAAATGTGTATATGTGAATTCACTTAAGTTCTGATGTCACATTGAAGCCCATTGGAGGCAGTTCAGCCAACCAGATGCTTCCTGGTATCCAGTAAGAAAGATACATAGTTCTGGAATAACAGGAAACTTCAGCTTTCAACATCCTGTTTTTCTGGGTTTTGTGACTTGCTGCTTCACCACAATGAAGGTTAGTGGACATTTTTTATGTATATGTCTTTTGTCGAATGCCCCGATTTTAATTTTCTAAGTTCTAGAACTCAGGCTTTACAGCTGAAAGGCTTTCAGATCACCTACCCCTCATTTTCAAGTAAGGGGACTTTGCCTGCATGTCAGGAAGCTGAACGCTCAGAGTATTCCTAATTCCTTAAAAGAAATGCAGCTGATGATTAAGAAATATATATGGATATGTTAGCCTAGCTAATGCTCTCATTTGATTAGGAATTTCTTAAAAATAGTAGATGTCACAACGAATGAATTAAATTCTGTATTGTAAGGTGATTCTGAAGACTAAGGGGTATTTCTTTTCACAATAAGGATGTGACATCATGAAATCAGCTTTACTCTGTTCTTCGACTGGATGAGAAATGACATTCAGTAGCGGGACAGCACGTAGATGCTCTGTTCCGCCTGCCTTTCAGCTTCCAGAAAAGCGAGTTGTCGTCACTCCTGTCTTGGTTTGGTGATATGATGGCCTCCTTTCTTGAAGTTTTTCAACTTCTGGATTTTCTTTTTTTTTCACACTTAAACATACCTCATGATGATTTTTACTCATTCTTTCAGAAATTAAAGACAGAAGACTATTAGCTGAAGTTGACTGTTGAGGAAGATGACAGGAATTACTCAGATTTGGAATGGCTCTTTTTAGCTCCTCTTTATGTGCCTAAACTCACAGTGACATTTAGGGCCACAGAGTAGAGGGTGGATGGGTAGACGGGTGGACGGGTTGGTGCATTGATCCATTCAGCAGGCATTTCAGTGTTGACTGTGTTCCGGCCATTGCTCGATGCTGGCTTTCGTACAACCTGCGTTTGTAGAGTTGACTGTCTAGGGCGCATGCACACACAGAACAAAGAACTGTTGTGAAAGGTGTTCTGGGAGAGCCCGCTGAGGGGACCTGATGGAAGTCTGGTGGGGAAGTGAGGCTGGAGGTCTGATGAGTAAGAGCTAGCCAGGAAAGGGGGGTTGCAGGCCGGAGGCAGGAAGAGGGAGGGGGTCCTGGCAGGGTGAGATGGGGGGAGTGGCCAGATGAGGGGCAGGTGGCAGGAACTTGGAGAGGAAGTCAGGGCCTGCCTCTGGGGCTCGTCATTCCTGGATGACTGGTCACATTTGTTCTTTTTGTCCCATTGAAAGAAACTTTTAAGTATGTTAACATGATTTGCATTTGGGTATATAAATACATCCTTGTTATTTGCATCTCTGAGAAATATTTTCAGCACGGAATTGTAGATAATTTCAGTATTAAATTTTTTGTGGGGGTTATTTGGTGATAAAAGCTTATATATAATCTTTAGATGGCATTTGGAAGTGAAATCTGTGTGTTTTTGGTGTGTGTGCACCCACGTCATGGACTGATTAACTAGCGGAGAGGTGTCCAGGCCACCGTGAGCTTTGTCTTCCAGCTCCTGTGCGCACCGTGTGTGTGTGCCGGCACTGACTTCGTGGTTTCCTGGGTCTAGGCGGTCACACTGGAGGAGATACAGACAAGGCGGGGATGATCTGGCCGCAGTGCTCTGCTTCGAGGGGAGGCGTCCGTCCCCCATGTTTACCTGTCTCCCCTGCCTTTTACTCCCCCATCCATTCCGAGGTCCGCGTCTCCCTTCTGCTGCTAGCTTGGAGGTGACTGCTGGAGAGCAGCTCTGTAGCGCGCCTGCCCATGGCCTCTGCCTCCACCTAAGGAGAAAGGGATTGCGAAGCCAGCGCCTCAGGCACTGAGTGCCAGTGGCCTGGGCACCCTTCACAGAGGAGGGTGGGTGGAGCATGGTGGGCACTTGGCGGTTAGGAAACGGGTGTCAGGCCCAGGGTTAAAGTGCGCCCCGATAGGGACTTGGGATTAGACCTCCCCCCAAGACCTGAAGCAGGTCTCACTGGTTCCCCCCCTCCGCTCAGGTTGTGCCAGATCTCGAGGATTTTGTCCGTGGCCTGCATGTGGTCCTCTGCTTGCTGCGAGAAGTTCCCTCATCCTGCGCCCAGCACAAGACTAATAGTGCTTGTTTTTTCCTTTCAGACATTTGATGCACATGATTTGTATCAGGGGCAGAATTTTAACAAGGTCCTCAGTTCCTTAGTGACGCTAAATAAAGTAACAGCAGGTAAGACCTTTTCATTGAACTTGAGTGGGTGGGAAGACCAAAGGGCAGAAATCCTTTGCTTTTATGACAGCAAGGCAAATTTGCATTATTGAATCTAAAAAATACGCTTCTATTACATTAAGATTTTGGTTGTCTCTTTGCTGTGAATTTTTTTTCTCAGTAGAACAGAATCTTCCTGTGTAGGTTCTCTGGTGGATATCAGGTATTTTCCTTTCTGTGACTGAAAGATTTCTTCCTGAAAGTATGACAGAGTGGAAATGCCTTGTGCCCATGGGCAGACTCACAGGCTGTCTTGGAGCTAAAAGCACCTCTGTCTGGATTTTGAGTTTGTGTGCTGATTAAAGCTCGTATCTAGTGGACAGACCTTGTGACCCCCTGTGAGGCGCGCCTGTGGCAGGGCAGAAGCCCAGGGCCCTGTCTCTGGATAAGCCCCCGCCTGGCCTGGGTTTCCCGAGGGCCGAGCAGTGCTCAGCCTTTGCCGTGTGGGGTGTCCTGAGCCCCGGTCATGCCCTGAGGACGGCAGTGACTGGAGGTGGCAGCACAGTGGCTCCTCCTGTGGCTCCCAGACCGAAGTGGACACAGCCAGGCTCTGTGCTCACTCCTTGGGAGGGGCCGCACCTGCCCCAGGAGCCCCAGAAAGCTTTGTCTTCAGAGAGCTGTGTACATCAATCAAAAAGAAGGTCTGAGTGGCTCTTTTGTTTTAAAATCATTAGTTTTCTCTTTACCTTTACAGATTTTAGCTTCAGATTTGTGGGGAAACTGAGACCTGGATGTGTCTCTTGGTCAGAAACCCTTGAGTTAGTTTTGTCAGGCCCTCTTCTCATTTCCATGCTGGCCTTCCCAGTGGGGTGTCCTCGCTCCACTGTGGGGAGGAGCCGAGCCAGAGCACTCCTGGTTCACAGTCCTGTGTGCTCAGGGACCGTCCCTAGCACCCACTCATGGCACACGTGTGTTGGGTGGGCTGCCTGGGCTCTGGCCCACTGCCCATGCATGTGGGGAGGGCCACCCAGAGCTGCCTGCTGGCCTGGGCAGGGTATCAGTGCAGCCACATTGTCATGCTGAGGCTTCCAGTTAAAAGTCTCCAAGGGCTGTTGAGATGGAAGCACGTGGGAGCGGTGCTCAGTTGGGACCTGCGCAAGCGAAGTCCCCGGAAAGTCCGGGGATCTACATGCAGGAGGAGGAGAAGCGGCTGCAGAGGCAGATGTCCAGCCACACCACCTGATGACGTGCAGATGAGCATGGCCTCCCACAAGGTCGTGAATAAGATGTGAGGCCTCCTTCTCTATCCTGCGTTGTAAAGAGGAGAGCTTTCATGCGAACGAGCAGATAACATTGAACAAGATGAATTACGTGGTGCAGAGGTGATACAGCAGTGGAGATACTTAATAAACTGGACTTTAACACAAGAAATGCTAAGTGGGAGCTGTGCCGGGGCTCCAGTCACGCTTCCTTGCCTGAGACCCCGACGGCATGCTGCTTCAGAGGCCATGAGATGCCTTGTAATTGACGGGGTCTCTTGCAGACAGAGACAAGAGCTGGCGGGTAAACACAATGCGTGTGATTCTCCGTTCAACCCCTCTGTTCCCGTGGAATCTGCTCTGGCAGCTGCTCGTAGGAGAGAGGGGGACAGCTCCGACTTACACCCCCAGCAGTGAGGGCAGGGGCAGGGTGAGAGTGGGGAGAACAGTGGGCCGCCTCAGGTGGGAGGAACCTTCCGTGCTCGTACCTGTTCACCGTCTGCTCTTACTTGTTGGGTTTGAGGTCAGTGTGATGGAGGTGAGCACCTTTCCAGATTCCAGCCGTGAGCACCTGGCTCAGCAGTAAGTCAGCTGGAGCCGTTACTCCGGGGTGGCTGCCAGCCGCCTGGAGAAGACTCGTCATCTGCTGCTGCGTAAAGCCATCTGTGTTCTCCAGGTGTGAGGACGAGTACCCGCCTTTCAGTTGGACAGAAGGAAGACTAATGATGGGGAGCTGGGCGTGTCCCGGAGATGCCTTGCTGTTCCGCGCGTGCCCTGGAAAGCTGGAGTGCAGAAATCTCTGGCACACAGCATGTAGCCATACGGGCAACATCCTCCTGAAATCCCGAAATGCCCTCTAGGAGCTGGTTCTGTGCCCTGGGGTGCTCAGGCTTGTGCCATGCTACGGTGCAAGGCACGGCCCTTAGCAGGACGGGAGAGCTGTAGGGGCCGTTTAGAGCTGCTCTGGTAAGGATTCACACTGGGATATCAAGGTGGAGGGTGGTGTTCCCGACACCAGTGTCTGGGGCACCAGGCTGGGCAGTAGGAGGGAGAGTCGGAGGCAGAGGGAAGCATGCGTGCAGCCCCGCTCAGCTCGGGGCTGGTACCCGGTGGTACCACAGCCTACACGCTTCAAGAACAGCTGAAATCAGGTTTTCCTGTGAGCTACCTTTAGATTTCCAGTTGGCAGTTTACTGAAGATTTTATAACTCTGTAAGCCACTCCAGGTGCCAGGAACACAGGCTCAGGAGGCCATCGGGTGAAGGATATTTTTTTATAGACTGCTCCTCATGTAGCTTTAGGAAATTGCTATGCAAATAGGTGTCGGGCTTTCCCTAGAAAACCTTTTCATGGCTTCATTTTTTTCTTGGACAACTCACTCCTAATCAATGGGCTGTTGGCATTTGCTTTTTTCTTGGCCTGAGCGGCCTATCCAGTCATGAGGAGAGTCCAGAGAGAGTACTGAGCCCTCTAACATGTTCCCCTTGGTTCTTTCACAACTTCATGAGGTGAGTATGTTTTGGGCTGCCTTCATTTTGAGGACATGTCCTCAGAAGGGTTGCTCTGGTTGAAAAATACAAGGGAATTTTCTGTTGGTTTTAAATGAGTCTTTTCCATTTGTTGCAAAATAATCTTGCTGCGTACGGCGTGATGTGTAATCTCACCAGGTGGGCACCTGGCAGTGTGGTGCTGGGAAGAAGTACTGGGTGATGCTCTGCTAAGGAATTGAATTGGAAAGACACATTTTTTCCGGGTGTAGGGGAAGTATTAACAGTTACAAACCATTTCACAAACTTGAAAATTATGCTAGAGAAGAACCACTGAGTAGTTATTTCCAGTTAACTTCTGTCGGGGGTGGGGGGCTGGGGGTTGGGGAGTGAGCCCGAGCCCGAGCCGTTTCTGCTGTAGACAGTCAGCTTTGGTCCGCTGCACACACAGCCCGAGGGCCCGCCCCGGCCGGCGGCCGGTGTGCGGTGTGCGGTGTGCGGTGTGCGGTGTGGGGCCGTGGGCCGGGCGTCTCAGCTTGATCTTCTCTCTGCGCGGCCTTTCAGACATTGGACTGGGAAGTGACTCTGTATGCGCCCGGCCGCCATCTCACCGGATAAAATCTTTTGACTCCCTGGGATCCCAGCCTTCACACAGTCGGACTTCAAAATTGTTCCAGGGCCAGTATCGGAGTTTGGTAAGTCTGCGAGAGTTGGTTATTGACAGTGAAATACGTTGGGAAGTGCGTGTAGGTGTATCTGGAAGGATGTACGCCGAGAGGTGGCTTGGCTTTACTGCCATTCATTTTACTTGCGTTTGGCGTTTGCCTGTCACCACTTTATTAGATGTAATGCTTAATGACAGCTTTTGAAAAGCATGTCTATTTTGGGGGTTATGTTTTAAGATTCATAAATCTGCTTATCTAGAGAGATGTGTGCTTTAAACCACCTCCCTGGTCACTCGGATAGTATTTTCTAATCATCTGGGCACAGATGTACACAGGTATGGAAATAACAAATGTGTGTGTCACAGTACTTAGAGGTATGAAAAGAAATGGCTAAAAGCCGGACAATCTAAAGGTGGGTTTTCTCTGGTTCAAAGCATGTCTTGGAGGGTTACTGAGTCAGGCTGTAGTTCATGGAGGGGGGTGGGCAGGGTGGGCGGGGTGGATGGTGAGGAAACCAGGCTAGGTCATCCTAGAACGTGAAGAAAAGGCCGCTCACGAGGAGTCAGAACCCAGGCTGTGAGCAGAGAGCATGGGATGCAAGAGTGAGACTGGGCAGGTGAGAGCGTGCTGAGCGGAAGGAGTGTGGAGAGGCATTGTGCCAGCTGGCGGGGTGGGTGGGGGGCAGACCCTGTCACCAGGGGAGAGCTTGCCAGGTCCCCTCTGGGGCTAATGTGGGATGGCACTTGGTTTGAAGACTGAGTGGTGTGACTCCTCTTTCTTGCAGTGTTTTAGGAAATTATTTTGTTAGAAACAAATGGTCTTGTGAAGTGAGTCTGAAGAGAGCCTGATTCTTCTAGAGTTTTTAGGGGACCATGGCTGGCTGTCTGCTTCAACATAGGAAGGGATATTAAGTAAGCTAATAGGGATCATAAAGAGATGAGAATTAATTTGGTTAGAGTTATACTTTGTATAGGGAAATAAATTTGAGTTTTGTTCATAAAGCAGTATTAGAAACTCAAAGCTGCAGAGGGAATATTATTTTTATGTGTTCCAGAACTCTTTGAACTCAGGCTTACTCTCCTTGCTCTTTATCCCTGACTGTCTCCCCTTGGAGAAGTCCCCTGACCCCATTTCTGATGCTGTGTGCAGTCCAGCATGCGTGGCGTTCTCTGTGCCTGGTGCTGTCAGGTGCTTCCCTGGACGCAGATAGCCGTCATGTCCCCTCTGCAGTGGGGTGTAGGGTCAGCCCTAGGGGAATGTCGTAGAGTGCTGTTGGCAGTGTTACCATTCCAAATTAAGGACAAATGTACAAACCACTTGAAAAATGTTTTTAATTAGCTTTGTAGAATACATAAGGAAAATGTAAGAGCAGTCCACAGACTCTGAGTAAGAAATATTTCTGTCTCACCCTTTCACCTGTGCTGACTTCCATCTGTTCCCTCCTTTGTTGAGTAGGTGAGGACAGGAGTTCAGATGTATTATCTTAAGTAAAATAAAGTTCAATGTAATGTTGATGATGTTACTGAGATCACAAGAAGTATAGCATATACTTGGCATTAGCTAGAGAAATGTTAAGTTGTGCCAGAAATAAAAAGACCTGTGTGTGTCTCCCGTTTCCTGACCGTGCTTGGTGGCCGGGGCTGGCTGCTATGGGTAACGGGAAGACTGCCTTTACACATGTTAGGTAAGAAAACTCTTTGCCCTTAGGTTTTTCTGTGTCTTTATTAGTACTTTGAGGTAATTTCTTGGATTAACAGTGATTTATAATGAATTGAGTGGCAGAATATTTGTTTAAACCTGGGTGATGGCTATATGGAGGTTCACCTATCCTCTACTTTTGTGTTCGGAATTTTCCATAAAAAAGAAATCAAGCTAATATAGCTTGTAGTGTCTTGAACATTGATCTTGTGGTCTCATTAAAATGAAGGTCAGCTTTGAGGTTGTTTAAGGCACCGCCATCCCCAGAGTGAGGACTGGCATTTTCGGGGTGCTGCCGTGAACTCTCTGCTGCGCGGCCTTGCTCAGCGCATCTGTGTGAGAATGTTCCCCAGCTGCTGCCCCAGAACCGTGCTGCTCTGGGGCAGGTTTCCTGGCTTGTGACGTGACAGACTTGAATAGTTCTGGGGTTCGGTCTACACTGAAACCCAGGCTTTAACTTCTTTACTCGGTGCTTCTCGATCATCCCTTTCTTGGGATGATCTCTTTGTACTCTTTCCCGTGCTCTGCGCTAAATTGAGTGATTTATCTTCCCCTGTGCCCCAGGCTGTGCCTCTCACCGCCAGTAACTGAGTCAGGGTGTGAGACGAGGCTGCGCCGTTTCCTCCTCCTCCTTTCTTCATCATAAGTAACTTCCATCGGCTTGTTTGGGGTTCCTTCCTGTCCACGCTCCAGTCTTCATCTGACTGATCAGTGCTTACTTCAGCTGACTCCTGATGAGTACGCACTGGGCTTTTAAAGTTTTCTTAGGGTTTGGGGAGATACCTGCGAGGCTGTCATTCTGATAAGCCTTCATTTGTGGGAGTTGTGACTGAAGCATTTCCTCCCCATAGGCTCCTGGAACCGTCCGCAAAAACTCAGTAACCCAGTGCTGGTCACTGAGTCCACAAACTCCTATCTTCAAGGTGAACAAGGCAGGATATCAAAAATGTTTCACACGTGTGACCTTTAAATCATTTCTGTGCAGTAAACATGGAAAATGAGTTTTGCTGCATTTCATCAATTCTAAGACTAAAAAAATTAGCACCTTGGAAAGCATGGGTCTCAGAGTTAATGTTATAATTGGCAGTATTTGGGATATAAAATCATTGGCTTGTCTAATTTCTGGCATCTTTTATTTGTTGAAATATGAACAAGGAAACAAGCTTTGAGTTCAGATATGTAGGATCACAAGAGCAGAAATTGGGTGTTTACCTTTTCAACAGGCTTTTCTTCTGTAAGTGAGATTGTAGGGAATGGAGAGGGTGGGGTGTGTATGAGGCCAGCACTCCAGAATACCCTGGTTTTGGGTTATTGGGTAATTTCAGAACATCTGAGAAAATGAAGCACTTGATTAACTTAAAAGACAGGTGGCACTGCCGCGTGGTGCTTTGACTGGGAATCAGAGGCCCTGAAGGACGTGTGTGGTGGTTAAGATCCTGAACCTGTGCACTGTACCCCTCCTCTCCCTAGGAAAGTATGCATATCCTAAGTGAAGAGCTTGCTGCATTTTTACGAGTTGAGCATTGCTGTGTAAGCCACGTGCAGATCAAGAGCTGGAACTTGACCAGCAACACCTCTGCTGGGCACCTGGTGCCCTGGTTTCTAGAGTGGGCAGGAAGAGCTTCGTCTGTCTTCTGTTTTGCACAGATGGATTCTGCAGCACATGCCCTTCTTGTGACTGGCTTCTTGTCCTTAACCTTTTATGTTTTAGATTGTTTCGGAGTGTCACATTGAGTCCAGATAGGTGACAAGCAATAGTTGGAGGAGAGCTTTTAAAGAAAGGGAAGGAAAAAAATCCATAGTGACAAGATAATGATTAAATGCATCCTTTCCAGCTCCCTGTGCTGTTAGGCTGAGTGGTGGAGTCAGCTGGGCACAGCGCTTTGGGTTGTACTCTCTGTGTTACCCCATTGGCATCTTACCTTCTACACAGCACTCCATGGAGCAACACCCTAAAAACCTGTGTATCCTCGGTGGAGTAAGTGTTGAGTGAGTGGACATGAGTGGAATCAAGTTAGGTGGTCTAGACTGGCTGCCTGTTCTCTGTACCTCTTCCCACCTTCCCTCTGACTCCTCCCTGCCCTGGGCAATATGGAGTGTCTGTTTCTGAACTAGAAGAGGTGTCAGTGGAGTTCGTCTGGCCTGTGCCTTGGGTATGGAGAACTCGTGATGGTAGCGAGAAAGGTGTCGACCCTGTATGTAAGGTCCCGATGGGACAGTGCCACGCTGCTGCTTGCACTGGGGCTGGCTCTGCCTGGAGAGGGCCTGGCGCTGGGTGCTGAGCCACAGTGGAGTGCCTGGCAGCAGAGTCCTCCAGGCGGTGTGACTTTCTGAGGGTCCTGCTCCCCATTTGCCTGTTCTGCATTGTATTCCATGGTTGGAATTTAGCACTAGGGTTACCGTTTGCAGGCTCTACACAAAGCTGCTGGCCCAGGATAAGTCACAGAAAGGAGAGTGTAGTGAGGTCCTAGTGGGCAGAGGATGGTTTGCAGAGTGCGAGTCTCGTGTCCCTGCCCACCCTGGTGCCACTTCTCCAGTTGCGAGCGTCAGTGGACCGGTGGGGTTGGGGCCGTATCCTGCCCCCCCCCCCCACCTCCCGCCATTCCGGCACCAGCCAGCATCATGTCTGAGGTGAGGCGGTCAGCCGGAACTTCATTGCCAAAAGTCGAAGAGCTGTTTATTTACTGAGTATTCTAAACAACTAAGTGCTAAATGTTTAACTGACATTTTATGTAGTTGAATTATTAAATATTTACAAACAGATAAGAATTAAATATTTGGGGGATTATATCAGCTCCTTGACTTGGAGATCTGCCTCATCACAGTGTGTGTGCGCTTCACTCTTGTCATCTTTCTGTTTAGTGGTACGTGCACTTAGTTGAGAGAGTCTGGTAATTACTTCTTCAAGATTTGTTATTAGGAAAAAAATCAGACGGCCACTTCCCATTTTCCCCTTTAGGTACTTGCCTGTGTGTCTCTAACATGCTTAGATTAAGCTTGATTTTCATTTTATTTTCTGACTTGAGGTGTCACGGTGTGGACTTCCCACAGTGGAAAAGGGAATTGGGCCGCCCCCTTTGGTGGCCTGGGCCCCCTCCTGGGGGCAGCGTGCATGTAAGGGCTGCGGGACCCAGACGCCGAGGTGGCGCGGTGAGCGCTGGGACTGTCCTTGCCTTGTGCCTTTGTTTTCTGCATTGCTGGCGGTCCGAGTTTACTTCTCTGTGTACCTTTTGCAGTTTGCACTTCAGTTTTTTTGTCCAATTCTGAGAATCTCTTCTGAAGTGTTCAGCGTGTTAAGAGGAGGAAAGTGAAAAATCCTGGGGCTCTCATCAGTTTTTTCTCTCTGAGAAAATTTTATGTTTTTTTTTCCCTGAGATTTTCTGTCTATCTATTTCAAGAGAATTTGTGCCATTGAACCTTGAACATTGTAGGTTTAAACTTTGCAGCTCCACTTACAGGTGGATTTTTTTTCCAATAAATATATTGGAACATTTTTGAGATTGGCAACAATTTGAAAAAACATTTTTTCTCTATTTGTATCATAAGAATACAGTATGTAATATATAAAATATGAGTTAATCAGCTGTTTGTCACTGGGAAGGCTTCTGGTCAACAGAGGTTAAGATTTGGGAGAGTCAAGTTAATAAACAGATTTTTGGCCACACGGGATTCAGTGCCCCCAAACCCCACATTGCCCAAGGGTCAGCAGTAGTTGCTTTTTTTTTTTTTAATTGATATTTTTTATTAAGGTATCATTGGTATACATTCTTTGTTTTTTTTTTTTT